TGAAGTCCAACAACTGATAACAGCAGTGAGTTGCGAGGATCCTACGCGAGAATGCAGCACTAGTACCTGCTCACGAATTTTTACATTGACTCTTACGGGAGTCCAGGGTCCTATAGAACTGGTCCCTGGTACAGTTGCCTCTTGATACCTGAGGCCGAGGCAACTCGGATATGAGCTGGAGCTATTTTCAATAGCTAAACTAATCAGTAAATCAAATACCAGAGGAAAACAAACTGGATCGCAGTAACTTTTTATATATTAACAGCATATACAGAACAGCAGGGAGAATCACTAGGCAACTAAAAACTATACAGTGTTGTAAAGTTTTTACATTCTCCCCCCTTAAAAAATGTATACAGATTGAATATCATTAAAAATTTGAAAATTTTGAAATTGAAATTTCATCAGTAAAAACTGTGTGTGTGTGTGTTTTTTAAGCACATTAAATTTAAGTTAGTCATCACTTAATGGTAATACACAAACTTCAGTGATGACTCTCACTAGTGTGGATGTTGCTGTTTCCTACTCTTGTGATGCCATCTGATCCTGGGTGAAGGATTAGATCAGGATATTCTTCAGGATATTCTTCATCAGGATATTCTTGCTAGTTTCCAAAACATCGGGGGACAGTGTCTATCCTTTCTTACGACTAACGATCCTATTTTCGGAGATTCGTTTTTTTTTGAGTGAATGTTTGAATGTGTTGAAGATACTCCCTTTGCCATTTCTTCCAAAATATGTTGAATCCTTCCTGTATTGCCTCATACGCCCGTAGAATTTTTGTAGATTGCTTTGTAGGTGTGTTATCAGGATAAGACGTGAGAGGTCCTCCTCCTGGCGGTAAAAATGACCTGGCGTCAATACGTCATACTTTTTGAACTTTACTCAATTCGAACATTCGATCAATAAGGATCTGCATTCTTATTATGTAAACCACTGAACTCAGACTCATTTGTCAACACGTCTCTTTTATCTCATCATTTCAGCAGTATTTATTAGTCTTCCACAGTCTTTCCACTGTCTTTACTTTTTCTTACAATGAATTCCTCAAATCTTGCATCTCTATTCAAGAAGGTTATTAAAAGTATGAATACATCATACATTTTGGATGATTTCCTTCTGCACCAAAAAGCTAATTCCAATTTTTGGAAATTCGATTTCTAAGTAGAGCGCTATTAAATCGGTTTTTATGTATGGTATAATAATTTACTGAGGAATTATGAATATCGTATTATTTTCACTATGTGTTAATTTATGACGTGTTTAAGTTCATAATAATTAATCCACAATAATGCTAAGTTACATAAAAATTCATGTATGTTAAACTCGCTTTATTTCTCTATTGTGCTCATTCTCTGCATGCATTGTTGAGTCAGGAGTTTTCTCCTCAGGATTTCACACATTTTTCTGTAGGTGCTTTAATGCAACTGTTACTTTTAAATATTCAAAAATCAAGTTGGCACAACTGGTATACTGGGCTTTTATTTTACTTATCTCAGGTGAGCTTGTTTCGGAAGTTGTTTCCATAGAGTTCACAAATCTGGACAGTTGATATTCCATGTTTTCCATTCGAATTTTCAACTCCTCTGTAGCTTCTTTTTTTTTTAAAAATTTCTGCTTCATTCACGCTGGGTTTTGCTTGACTAGTAAATCCTCCTTCCTTCATATTTACTGTAGTATTATGTATTTTATTCCATTGTTATATCTCTGCTCACTTTTCTTTATTCTCGATCTTATAACTCATATCAGTCTTGGATCATAACCTTATTTTCTGCTCACTTAGGTTATACTTTTTTTTTCACTCAAATTTATACTTTTTCTTCTCTTAACTCCGACTAGACAGGGCTTTAGCCTAAATGTACTGAGACTTAGATAGGTCTTTTATGCCTAAATGCACTTTTGCGCTTAGATAGGTCTTTTTTGATTATTATCGGCTGAAAGCCGTCATTTTTGCCTAAATGCACTTTCGCTTAGATAGGTCTTTTTGCCTAAATGCACTTTCGCGCTTAGATAGGTCTTTTTATTTATTTTCGTTCGTGTCGAGACACCGCCTCTGTCCGATCGAATTAGAAGCCTAGGCCCAGGTCTTACACAAGTATTGCAAGGATAAGAATGGAGGCGAAAATATCGCTCACTGCAATCTTATTTCTATCCAAGCTTAATTCATGAGTTCACATCGGGAATGGAGGCGAAAAATATCGCTCACTACATTCTCTATGATGTAGCTTTTAAGCTCTCAGTTTGTATGCGACAATATCGCTTACTGCATTTATATTATTATCGAATGGAGGCGAAAACCGCTCACTGCATTCATATTATTATCGAATGGAGGCGAAAACCGCTCACTGCATTCATATTATTATCGAATGGAGGCGAAAACCGCTCACTGCATTCTCAATAATAAATTAGTAAGAAATGCTCTTGTCAAAGTGTTAAACGCAACGTCTACTTATACACTCTTTTTTTTAGGTTATCTCAATTACATCTCACATTCATATTTTAACTTCACTCTAATTCCTTATTATTTTTCACTTTGACCAGAGATTTCGAGTATATAATCACGTCGGGGTCACCAAATGGAGCTATTTTCAATAGCTAAACTAATCAGTAAATAAATAATCTCAAATACCAGAGGAAAACAAACTGGATCGCAGTAACTTTTTATATATTAACAGCATACATATATAGAACAGCAGGGAGAATCACTAGGCAACTAAAAACTATACAGTGTTGTAAAGTTTTTACATGAGCTATTGCGGTCTCTGGCCTCCACCATGACCAAGATACTAGTGGAGGGTCTCTTGTCTCTGTCAATTATTAGTAGATGGTATTGTCTCTGTCTATTTCTTTCATGGTCCTTGCCTGCAAAAAGTAAACATTGACGCGAACCGCGCGATGTTTACTTTTTGCAGGCAAAGACCCCCTCGAATGAGCAGGCAAGATGGCTGCGTGGCGCGACGGGAACTCAGAGCAGTTCGAGCACTCTCTAACCAATACCTACTCTAAACCCATCCTATCGTCTGCCGTCTCCCCACCTTATCCATCCAAATAATCATGTTTCCAATGAATCAGTGAGTTCGGAAACACTCCAACACGGGTTTTTTTCGATTTTCACTTTTTTACGGTTTAGTAACACTTATGGATAAGTAGAAGCATCTGCACGCAAAAGGATATTTCGAAATTGCAATCGGAAGTGCTCGAAACAGCGACGGGATAAGGGAAGAATCGAAGAATTTCATTGGAAATACCAATTTTTGGCCGATCAAGGGAAACGGGTGACTATCCGATTATGCGGTTTTCTTTTTTCGGTTCAGTATACCTTGTGCCAACAAGTTATATACTTAAATATTCAAGCGTTATTCAGGTCAAAAAATATAAATTTTTCAGGGCAGACTATGAAAAATCAGTATCTGAAACTTGGTGCTTTAAAGTCTCTAGAGTACTTCTTGCGTCCCTTGGCATCAAAAAGGTTTTTCTGAAACCAACTTCTTCGCCCGCTGCGAAGTTTTAGGTGTTTCCTGAAAATTTTTTTTTCCGAGTTGGTGTATTTTCGAATTCACTGATTCAAATGATTCACTGATTTCACTGATATGTCATCTTAGGTACCTAATGCTATATTTATGCTCCCATATTTCACCCCTTGATGCCTAACTGGTAAAATTCACCATTTTTTGGATCGTTATGTACTTTTGTAGGTATAAGTTATCAAAAGCAGAAATGTGCAAAGATATTTTTTTAGCAAATTTTTCAAGAAATATGCTAAGTGCCTCGTTACCTTTAACAGGATGTTTCCCAGAAGTTGTACCATTGTGCCACAAAAAAAAAATTGATAAATTTGTGCGAATGCTGAGTTAAATTTTTAGCTTGATGGTTCATCTTCACATGTAAATATTTTTGGTAGAATTATAAATTCCACAATGAAAGTCTGGCAACACAGCTAATTTAGCAAAAGCCCTCATATTTCTTGAAGTCAGGAGAGGGTAATATTTCTCCCCCCCCCTCCTCCTAACTAGTTCCCCCAATGCTCCTGAAAACATCTCTGTGCACCTCTGCTGAGCGCAAAAATCCTCAAACTCATCCCTCATCATCTGGCATCCCCATGGCTCAGATATAAATGAAGCCCCTCCCCCCCTTATTTTCCATCAAAATTCAAAATGTAAGTAGATACGTTTAGAATTTGATTTCAATGCCTCAGAACGCTGCGGGGACCCCACACAAGCTTGTGATTTCTCCAGATATGCTAAAGATTTTCCCTCCTTAGGTAATCCTTAAATTATATCAGAAAAATGTCTTGCCAAAGAATTTTGAGAATTACCCTGGTTAGTACTTGGTTTGAACTCTTTTAGAAATTTAATCCCGATCAAAAAGGTCAATTCCCTGAGCTGAGCAGTTTAATTTTTCTCAGAGAGTGAAATTTGTGCTTGGCGCCATTATGTGATGTAGAGTCCCTTTATACCCAGAGTAACGACAACTCGATTATCAGCTGACTGGCAGCCGACCTTGGCTGGCCATGGAGGCCGAAACTAGTGCACTCAAACGAACGATATTGGGGGATAAGGATCAGGAATCCTGCGATGTCTGTCACACAGAAACAACAACATCAACAAATTGATCAATTAAAAAGAAAATGAGATTGGTTTGTGAATAATTTCTTAATCTATTTTCATTTTGGACCGATGGCAATAACAATTTACTCTTGATAAACCACAATTAGGTAATATTTTCATTATTCTTGTTCACATACGAGGTACCGCCATCTTGGTGCACTAGTTTCGGCCTCCATGAGCGAGAACCAATCAGAATTGGATTTTTTTTTAGGCCACTTTCAGCCCAATCCTGGCCCAACCAAAAGTGAGTTGTCGTAACTCTGGGTATAAAGGGACTCTAATGTGATGTGCAAAGAGTAGAGGAGAGGAGAGAGCAACAGAGTATAATCATGGAGTCCGAGCGAGCTTCATGCACGCTCCACCAGCTACTCCCGCTCTGTGATCGCCTGCTCATTCGTAGGGGGTCTTTGCCTGCAAAAACGCTCAATCTGTAAATGTAGTTCGTTAATGTAGATTGTAGGTTATCCTTTTTTATTATTAGTTCCTATCTTCTCCAAGTTCAGTTATCTGCTCAATCATTCGTTATCATTATTGTACATTGCATCCACATCGGTGCCTTCAAAATGAGCAAGAAGTGTGCTCGGTGTGATAAAACAGTGTATCCAATCGAAGAATTAAAATGTCTGGATAAGGTAAGCTTCATGACTCATCAACTCAATGCATTAGTTAGTCCATGTTTCAGAATGTTGTTGTTCTTGGATAACATTAAATCACAGACGTTGAACCTAACGAATGTTTACACTACGTCAAATTAAGTATCAGGTCATGAATGGTATTTTTTCACTTCATAGTCTGGCATGTAAAGGAATTGCATTTTTTTCAGCAACCTTCAGGCTAGTTCACACATATAAATCGGTCACTCTTGATCAAAGACATTGAATCACGTAGACTGTGCATCCTGTGTTACGGGAGGCGAAGCAACTTTTAAATATTCGCATGTGATGAGTGGTGGCACTGACCCGCATTGATGAGTTCGTGTGTCCCAGTTGCGTACATCTGCGCATGCTCAGTAGCGGCTCCTGGCGGCTCCAGTGAATTTTTGTTGGATTGTGAGGCTTTTTTCCTCGTTTAATAATTAGTTGGGAAAAATGAAAGAATGCTATTTGGGTGTAAAATTATGTGTTCTAAAATTTTTCTTCCTAGGAATTTTGTCTGATAATGGACTCTTAATGAGATATTTGTGAAAAACCGAGCGCGGGCATGAATTCTCCATTGCCTCTCTGCAGTCTCATCGAGTGCTTGGGACACACGCTCTCTCCCCTTCCCTGCCCGCCCATCATGGGGCTCTGAGAGACTTGCTTCGCTCCGCCAGTATTAAGCCGAGCCAGACGCATGGTCTACGTGATTCAATGTCTCTGCTCTTGACTCTGATCAACAATTATCTAATTCCTTTAACTAGCTGTTATCAGAAGAGTAGAGCACTCAAGCACTCAGGTCTGTTGATGTGTTAGAGTGAACACACCTATAGGAAGTTGGACACAGAATGGTATTTAGTGTTACATTGCAGGCCCATTAGTGAGTGGTGTAGTTTACCAAGCTCAGTTTTGCCCATGGACTAATTCTGGGCCCCCCCTTAGTAAACCCCTGCCACTATTGAAAGTTTAAAGTTGCCTGACCAGACATCAGAATGCGATTTTTTGCATGGTTAAAATAGTGCTCTGCCTTGTCCTGTTGTGCGGACATTGTTTTTTCAATGGGGCTGCGTGGAGCCAGGATTTTCGCCTTTCTGAAGTTATTTAATTGAAATAATCACAGATGACCAATCTATTTTTAAGTATCAGAATGCATGAAGAAATGTACGAGGTCTGTTAGATTAGAAACCGGATTTTTGTCATAACTAGCCTACAATGCGTCCAAATTACGTTTTCTTGAGCTTTTCTGATAGCTGAAAATATATTTAAGAACGCTACGTTCACAAATTTGAAAAATCGTAATTAGCTTCGTTGGTATGTGGCTTGAAGTAAGGCAACCTCAAGGGTGTTTTGCGATTTTTATGTTTGACCGAACTTGTCTCTCTTTTTTCGGTCTTGCACAACATTTTTCAACCCACAAGGACGATTGGAGTTTCGTCTCCATATCGTAGCCGTACACTAAAGTATTGTCACCGAAAATTATCCTATCCAAAAATGTAGGATCATTGTTAGAACGTTCAAGCAGCTAAAGGTAATTTGACATTTGGTTGGATTTTCGTTCAAAGGACAACAATCAAGGGGCAAGTGTACCTGAAACTCGATGCGTGTCTACATATTCTATCAAAATTGTATGTACAGAGCCTTCAGAAATATGACTTTGTTCAACAAGCTCGAAACGACCATTTTCGAGCACTTTTGCCTGCATTTCTTCCACGTGACAAATGTCAGTCGCCGTTGAGGGTCGATTATTCCCACGCTCCTCATCTTTAACGAACTCCTGACCAGTTTTGAATCGTTTAACCCATTCAAAACAGTGGGAACATCTCATACAATGATCATGGTAAACTTTTCTTAGCATATACCAAAAGTTTCGGTACAAGGTAAACCGAGTTGAAAACAAAATTTAGTGTTGAATCTTTGCTCTGTCAGTGATCGCATGCTAAAATCGCAAAACGCACCTGACTTACTCGTATTCAAGATGACACAGAATAAACACTGATCAAAATAAACAAAATCTGTGAACGTAGCGTTCTTAAGTATATTTCCAGCTATCAGGAAAGCTCAAGAGAACCTAAATCGGACGCATTGTGGGCTAGTTATGAACAAAATCCGGTTTCTAATCTAACAGACCTCGTATTCTACGTGAATGAAGGACCCTGCACACCTCTTATGGGAAAGCATCATGAAGGTACTTATTTATGTCATACGATTCTCCTCAAGATGCTAATCAAAAGTTATAATTGCGCCAACTTTCTACGATGCACCGTTTTCGCAAAAAACGGCCGAGAAGATTCAATTATTCGGCGACAACGATTAAAAAGAACAAAGGATTTGAGAACAGGCCCGATGTTAATAAGGAGAAAACGTGGCGCCTGTCTGTCTTCTTATCTGTACCTTCCGCTCTCGATGCGCCCGTTGGAGTTCCCCTGATTTCCTTGTTGACACACAGCCGCTTTTCTATTGAGTACCTACTGAAATGAGGAATCTTTCTGGCTTTTTATCGCGGAATAATCGAATCTTCTCGGCCGTTTTTGTGAAAATGGTGCATCGTAGAAAGTTGGCGCAATTATAACTTTTGATCAGCATCTTGAGGAGAATCGAATGACCCAAATAAATTAACATTCCTTCATGGTGCAGCTTCCCATAAGAGGTGTGCGGGGTCCTTTATTAGCTGCTGTGTGAGTCAGCAGTTACTTAGCTCTAATCAGATGATGATAATAGAATGCACTGTGTATGGCATAGCCAGAAATTCTTCATGGGGTCTGTGGTCTGAGGTACAGACTAAATTTTCTTGATGTGGTACTATTGGATTCTTGTTTCACCATTTTCAAGAAGAGGTTCCGAAAGCTCAGTTCATAAAGTTTCTAAAATTGGCAAAGAGGGTCACTTGCTGAAGTGGCTATAGAACATTTTTCATGTTTGAGCACTATAGTTGCATTGTAGCCAAAAGGGATGTGATCTGGCCGAGAGGCCTGCAGTTTGATTCCAGGGTGTTGTCACATAATTATTTTCAGCCCTGTGATTGTTCCATTTTCATTTGATGAGTTTGCCTGTAGAAGGGCATATTGTGTCATATATCCTTTTTTCGGCAATTAGTAATTTTAGTAACACCTATATACCCTAGAAGGCATATCCACAAAGTTTTATGATCATCTGATGATTCTGTGAGGCTCTAAATGTCAAGATGTAAGACGCCCTTTTCAAGCAAGAACACCCTTCTACAAACAATTTAAATTTTTTTGTCGATAAGTTGCATTTACTGCAGTGTTTTGCCCGTAAAGCATGTTGCTCGGGAATTATCCAACATGTTGTGTGTAAATTTAGGTATAAGTAGAAAATCTTGTAAAATACAACAAGATTTATCCTGTCCCTGCTGCTTTTACGTGGTGAATAAGCGCTGTTGCGTATCACTGGTATTTTTTAATATAAGATTTTTCATTGCGCGATCACCATCCCCGCTGCAATCGTTGTTGATTTATTTGGGAAAGTCTAAAAATTAGTAACGATCAGTCACCCTGCTTGCAGTAGAAAGCTCATGAATATCCTATCAATACCCTACAATTTCGATTATCCCTCGAATGTCCTGACTTTTTCAGAATATCTACAGGATATCCCACGAATATTTGAACAAATGTCATTTCAGATTATTCCTACTTTGAACAATCATAGGATAATTTGCTCCCATGATGTATAATACCTATGTTGTAAATTGTTACACTGTCTTATGTATGTAATTTCGCTCTGTCCCTGTCGTCTCATTTCTGTTGACCATTTCTTCCATTGAAGAGGAGTTCAAAAGTTTCCTTAGCTCTGCTTATCAGCTCGTTCATAATTTTCTCGTCTAGATTTGGTATGTTCTTGCTTTGGTTTTCTTCATTTTTCTTGTTGGCTGATTTTCCCGTGTTTGTTCCTTGTTCCAAGTTTGTGTCCTTGGCTTCTGGTTTCTTGTTTTGTTGTTTATTTCCTTTTGATTATCTCTGGTTTTTTGGTTTTTTTTCTTCCTGTTCATTATCCATACATTTATTTAACATTAGAGATAGGGTAGGTTTTTCCGGGGGGGGGGGGGAGGAGGTGGTTTATTTGTTCTGGTTCCTTAACTCCTGGTTTTTTAACTTTATCTTTTGGTATTGCTACTTCACTCTTTTTTTGTTCATTCTGCGTTGAATTCTGTTTTGGTGTTGGAGAGGTTGCCCTGTTTCTAGATGAGGATCTAGATCTGGTGATCCTATTTATGAATTCATCATTAACTTCTCGTGGGGGGGTCCTCCTTATTGGTCATGGTCCTGCCTCACTTATGGACTTACGGAGTAGGGGTAGGGTCAACAAAGGTGCCCTCAGAGTCCCTAGAGTCATCCAAGTGAATGGATTCCTCCGCTTGCCTTTTTATTTTCCCCTCTGAGGCAAAAATACGAGATATTTAGTTTATATTTAGATTATATTTAGTAGATATATAGTCCAGAACACAGATTTAGCCAATCAGTAACGAAATTAGGGCTCAGAATAGAAAAAAACACTACCCGACGTTTGACTGACTCTAGGTATCTAAGTAACTGTACTAGATTGCCGGTAGAAGGGCATATTATTATTAGGGCTTACATTTTCTCATATTGCAAGGATTCCAAGCAGTTCGCAATCATAGCTTTAGTCGATTTTCCGTCTAATATACGTTAAAAAAAGAAACGTGGTCTCAATTTACCCCATCATTAACATAGCAGGTCGTGGGATTGAATTGAAAACTTCAAATACGTTTTTCTCAAAACGGGTATCTTGTATAAAAATGCCCTTCTGCATACAAACTCTTCATTTTTTCTTTTTTGCTTTTACTTGTGTTAGCAACTAAATAAGATAGCTAATCCTGTAATTGTGAGAAATCGAGAAAATAATGGAAACAAAACAAACGCAGGAAAGAATCAAAATCTCTCCGTAAAACCGGCAACCGAATTCCATACCTCTCCACCAGAGCCCGGTGCGTTAAGCCACTATGTTTTAACAGCGCTCAGGAGATAGGTATGTTGAGAGTGTTATTTTTCAACTTCAGCAAGTGATCTTTTTTGCCAATTTTTTTCTAAAAAAAAAATAAAATTAGAAATTCCGAAGCCTATATCAACATTGGAATTATAAGGGTCAGATAGTTTTGTATGAAGAAATTCTTGGCCCCAATTGAATCAAAATGTAGGTGTGATACTACAAGACCTCCCCTGGTAAGATACAGTGAAAAATCAGCTTTTATAGCTCGATCTGGATCCTTGCTTTGAAAGACTAGAAACACTTACATCTACACGTAAAAAATCAAATTTCTGTTTTATCAATTTTGTAGTTAAAAAAAGTGACTGCAATGTTTCAATGTAGATTTTACCATAAAAAAATGCTGATTGAACCTGGGGGGGGGGGGGTGTTAAAATTAGCTTTCTACCATTGTAGAATGTACATTTGAAACATTGCAGCCACGTTTTAGCTACAAAGTTGTTAAATCAGCAGTCCAATTTTTCCCGTGTAAGGAGAGTAGGTAAATAGCTCCAGTATTTAGTGCTAATGCATTTAACTGGTGGAAAATTACTTCGGCATTTTTCTCTTTTTTTTTGTAGAATTGTTCCCATATAACTGTATTTTCTTTTCTCCATCAGATTTGGCACAAAATATGTTTCAAGTGTCAAGTATGCAGTATGACTTTGAACATGAGAAATTACAAAGGGTACAACAAAGATCCTTATTGTGAAGCGTAAGTTAGTTCCAATCATTTTTCTTCTTTTGCTTTTTACCCTCAAATTTTTTTTCTTAGGCGGGAGTTATTCATTTTTAAATTATAACTTGGCATCTATGAAATAATCTCACTCTTATTTTTCTGATGAATTGGACTGCATTTTGCAATTTGGAACTATAAATTCAGGCCCGGTCTAAAAACAACGTTTGTGCCATTAATTTCCCTATGCACATAAGTGTTTTTTCAGATGAGCCAGAATTCATAGTTCCTAATTGCAAAATGCAGTCCAATTGATAATGAAATGGGGTTGTTACATAGATGAAGGATTTGAGAATGAAAAACATGAAGCCGTGAAACTTATCGCGAAGAAAACGGTAGTTACGTTTAGAAAGTCCAAAATCGAGTCCTTAAGCCCAAAAAAGCTCGCTTTATAGTACGATGGGTACACATAAAAACCCTGCACTTTTTGATTGGAAATTGCCGCTTTCAGGGATCATTCTTATGGTCATAAGAAGCCCCTCTAGAAGGGGAACCATTGTGGGGTCCGTGGAGGAACCAAGATGGCGGCTAGACGCTTTTTTAGCGGGCCATATCTCGGAAAATACCGATTTTCATGTTTTTGGTCTCATTTGAAAGCTATGACCATCAAGATTGTGTTCTTTTCAAAAATATTCACATTCGTCCCCCTTTTTTTTTTTTTTTTTTTTTTTTTTTTTTGCTTTTGGGAAAAGAACATTTTTAATTTTATGGGGCAATTTTTGAGTTGAAATAAGTTTTTAGAACGCGGGAAAATCTATTTTTTCCCCCCGAATGACGGAGATGGGAAATCATATTGCGTTTAAAATGATACCAAAAGCATTTATCTACGATTAAAACTAAAGCCGTGAGAGAAAGAGTGAAGTGAAGTGATGTGGTGCGCCACGGCCGCTGGTGCGCGGAGCAAGTGATGAACCGCGGCGCACCGGCAGCCGGCGCCAACGCGCTACGCAAACCAACAGAGTGCCGCATCAGAACCGCTACTCGCTTGATTCGCATGTTTCTTAACTGAGTCGAAAGCTGTGATGAGTGCAGACATGGCTTACCTTTAAAGTCTGTATTTGACGCAGATTTTTCTTAAAATTTTTGGGGAAACTGAAATTTTTAATATTTTTGGAATTTTCCTGGTGGATCAAGGGTTGCGCATGAAAAAGAGAAAACTTTTACGTGACAGATGTAGATTGAGCATTGTCTCCGGTTTAAAATGATGCCATAATCATTTTTGTCCGATAAAAAGAGGAGCCGTGAGATCAATTTCAGCGGAAGCGCCAAGGCGCTGCTCCCCTTCTGCACCGCGGTGTCGCCGTATTGGTATGGGTGGATTTCAGCTATTGGGAGAAAATGGTTCTGAAAAAAAGTTGAAAAGTGATTTGGCCATATTAAGCTAAAGACTACTTTTCTGTTATCTTAGAGCTCCATACTATAGGATTTAATTACGCGCATCGTAGTACCTTTACGATTATTTTTCTTTACCAAGCCTAACATGTCAGGTTTGGTGACATCACCAAACTGACATTTTGCTGTTATTAATTTTTCCTGCCAATTCTCAGCAACAAAATCAAACGAATCATTGAGGTTAGGTCGAGAGGCCACCTCTAGATGTGAGAAAGAAATATTTGCTCACATATTCCTTGCATATTCCACCAAAAGTTTTGATGGAAAACAGCGTCACCAAACTGACATTGAATAAGTGAGACACTCCAAAAACCATGGGAAAAACTGAAATTATGCTGAAATTGGAAGAAATATGTGGACTTATCCAGTGCACGTCTGTTCTTCCTCCTTTTCCGCACTCAGTCATGCCTTAATCCGGACAAAAACGCAATCTCTTGAGTGGCCACAAACTAAAACGCATAGCGTCACCAAACTGACATAATATTGAGTTACACGCTTCGAGTCTCAAATTAAATTGAATAATATAGCTTCCTGGTGTTTCAATGCATATTGTATCAAACAATATACATTCAAGACTTTAAAAAAAATTAGACAAAGCTTGGAGAAGGTCCTGGTCCATTTATTTAACGATTTGATACATTGATTATCTCCGAGTTACACGTCACAAAACTGACATTTTCACTGTTTAGCAAGATGAAAAAAAAGTTCAGAGTAATTCAAATCTCCTGAGAAATGTTTTCGTGGTTGGTGTGACCTGCCTCTCCGCAAAAAACCAAACATCAAGAGAAAATATTCGTATTGAAAGTTTTGAGCAACCAGTTACACGTCTTTCCCATATTTTCTTCCATTACCTGAAATCCACCCGTATCTGTGAGATACAAAGGAGATTAAATACAGAAATATGGATTATGCGATAGGTAAACGTTAGAGATCAGAATTTAAAGTATGCCATCCTCGTTGACTGATTGCGATGATCAGTGGCTGATCATGTTTGTTTACCTATGACATTTTTGGAATGTGACATGGATATGTGAGGCACTGCATTGATATCATCTCAATCCGAATTTTTAATGTAAGTAAATATTATATTTTTTAATCTTCTAGTAAACCAAGCAGTTACTTGTAAATCGATAGTAAAACTATATTTACTGCATGACTTAACTTAGAACTTTTACTTTTTAATTTCACTTTGTACGTATTTCAGTATGAGCTTTTCTTTCATTGGAATGTAACCTAGTTGATATTTGGATTAGATCTTCGGTGAGGCAAGATCCTTATCAATTTTGGACCGGTTACAAGGAGAACAGAAAGCTTACTTCCTTAACTCATCAATCGATTCTGACGGCAAACGGACAGAGAGTTTGCTTCAGAAAATGAGAGGCTGGGTTCAATCCTTGATGCCGTGTTGAAATATTTATGATACCTGCTGAGAAAAAATAACTAATTTGCAGAACTAGCAGTGAGCCATGCAAGTAGAATTTCGGTTTTGTGAATTGCTTTCCTCCTTGATTTTCGTTTATCTTTAATTTAAAGAATATATTGAGTAATTGATTAATTAGTTGATTTATTTAATTAATTTTATTATTATTACCATTATTATTATTATTTTTTATTATTTCTTTTTTTTTTTGAACTCGGAAGAGGGAACACTTCTGGTACAAGTATTAATAATGGGCCGCAGGCCAAAGTCAGTAATACACACTATTTTGCTTACAATGAAAAGTAAATTTTATATCCAAGTAAAATTAAAAAATAAAATTAAAAATTATTTTTATTATTATTATTGTTCATTTGACACATTGACACGTGTGCTGGGTTAATTCAAACTCTCACACAGGGGCAAACAATGCTCCTGGGTATGAGGGCTGTTTTTAGTTTGGATGGCCGGTTGGTGGTAGCTTCACTCCCACTGGGGGGGGAGGGGGTGACTCGTCGCAGCCTCGGATACCTATTTCGAGAAACCAGGGCAGGGAGGTTGTCTGAAAGACGCCTGCCTAGAGGTTCTTATCCTTAGATGACAGCGAATGTGGGTGCTTATGGTGTGTGGTAACATCATGGGTGTACTCGCGCCATTCCATTTAGTCGAGGACCTTCCGGAGGATTCTGGCAGTGCCAAACACAGCAGACTTCTGGGCTAATAGTAGCAAATGCTTCCCGGGGATTTCGTTCTTCAGTTTAGTCCAGTCTTTGGAAACTGCTCCGGTGGCTCCGATCTTATTATTACTATTATTATTATATTATTATTATTATTATTAATTTAATAATTTATTCATTCTTTCATTCATTCATCCATTCATGAATGAAGAAGAAACGTAACGGAAATCAAACTAATCTTAAAAGGCTTATCATAAATTAACAAGAAAAAAAGGATCAAAAAGTTATTTTACCACAATTTAAGGAAGAAACAGTTTAAGTTTACAAACAATTTTACCGAGTTTCTATCTGATCAAAGTTTTATTTATCGTTTTACACAGATTCACCGAATTTTCCACGTTGGAAAATTCTTTAGCACCTCTCTGTCCGTGCCTTCAGCCGCCGATCTAAAATGCAGCATTCGGACAAAAAAATCTATAAATTGGGAGCTTTGCTGCATATGTCAAATAAAGGACACGGATGTTTTGATTTGCCCTGCTCTCAACAACGATGTGGCGAACGTAGGAACAGGGTATCGAACTCTTGTCGAAAATTTATCTTCTTTTAAAGACATCAGGGCTTTACCAAACGGTGTTTTAGTATTCAAAAATTTAGAACAAGGCAAAAGTTTGGACGAGCTTTTATTATCAAAAAAGGCGAATTATCACAAGAAATGTTCGGTCAGATTTAACAAATCAAAGCTAAACAGGGCTTTTAAAAGAAGTGTTTTATTTTGTGCAAGCAACGTAGAAGCTCAAACAGACATGACTTCTAAGGAAAAAAGACCTCGCCCGAGCCGTCTTAAATTGATTCTACGGTTGCCATTTTTTGTGTCAGAGCGACATGCGATATATCGCATCAATCCGTTCCATAATTTCAGCTACTTGTCATTTTTACTTTCTTGCTCCCCTTCTTGGGGACAGTGCTGGCCTCGATTTAAGTGTTCTAATGCCCTTTAAGTATCTCTGAGGAACATCAATATTTTTTTGAGGGGGAGGGCTATGGGGCAAAAATCAGAAATTTGCAATTGAGGGTTCACCGCTGAAAAAGACCGAAGATTAAATTATACAGACTCAGATTGTGCTTTGAGTCAGGTGAAACCTAGGACTTCAAATGCATTACCTCCAAAAGTACTCCGTACAAGTACATGAAACAAAATTACATGACTAATTGGGTACTTACATACTAAGAATTATCCAAGCTGACACTAGAACTAACTTTTACAATTAGATCTTTATTGAAAGCTACTTCGGTGTTCGTGAACTTAAGTAAGCAAGCTGGCAAATTCCATTTTCCGCGGTTCCTTTTTACGAGGTAATAACTCAAGTACACCAATGCTACGCGAGCATGATCGATTTATTGCTACACAAACCAACTACTTAATACTTATTTGTTTATTTTGGTGCCATGGAACTGAGACTAACCTAACCTCAAATAAACGATTCACAAGGGCGCGTTCACACCATAGAGTACAATAGAGTTGCAATGTACTGGAGCGCCGATAAAATCACTTTTTGAGACTGTCTTGTCCAGGACTCCTGAGACTAGTGTGCGGCGACTAGCGATGCTGTATGCGTGAGGTCTGAGCTCCGACCTCCGCTCAGGAAATACAGGTCACGGTTCGTTTTAAAAAATTTTAATTTTTTTGAAGACCACACGCGATTTCTTTGATAACAACGTCAGGGAAGGTTTCTAAATTGAGAAACTAAATACCGCAAAATCGTGAGTGGAGCCGTTTTTTTTATTTTTGACTTTTTCGATTTTCAAGGGGGAAATACTCCCAAAAGCCTATGCCTTCCCATCAAAACCCCCCTCCTATGTTCGGATTATGTTTAAATTTTAGTATGTTGTCTCCCAACATGTATCAAGACATCCTCAACAGTTTGGAGCCCTCAAAAAAAATTTGGGGCCCTCCATGCGTTGTAGCCAAGTTATGCGCGGCACAGTAATGTAACCGATGGATAAATGAAGACAATGAGTTTTGATTTACGATGAAAATTATAAAAAAAATACCAGTTTTTAATTTATGAATAGTATCAAGTCATGCGAAAAAATAAACGTGCGCAGTTGTCGTATTTCCGATTTTTTTTAAGATAGGAAAATAAGGAAAATATTATTGAAAATGCCAATTTACAGATTTGACCAAAATCTTTCTTTCCTCTTTATTTAAGTGATGAAGGGGCACACTGACTGAGTTTTCTTTGGCAATATGTCGCACTGGCAGAATATGTCATTGTCACTTACCTCCATCTCTGCGAACGCGAAAGATCAACTGGATAAATGTGGAAGTATCCGTGAAAACAGATTTGGTTGAAAAAAGATGATCAGACTTTGCTTGAAATCAGCTAGGAAAATCTGAAAAACTTTTCCCCCCTTAAAGTCCAAGAAAATAAAGACAAACTCTCCTTAATTCATACAGAAGATAAAGAATAAATTACCTCGGTCAAAACTAAAATAAAAGTAAAAAACTGTTCCCACCTTACGCTAGAGTCTGAATTTGAAATAAAATACTCAACATTAATTTCGTCTTTGTTTTAATTTGTGTGTAGCTAATGAATACTGAAGAAGTTGACAATAAATCAGCTGAAAGCAGACATTTTGGAGATTCTTTTTTTTTCAGTTTTAAGATTCGATTTTTGGAGGAGATTAGGTTAAAGTTTGTGTGTTTTTGTACAACGAAATTTTGAGTTTTTACTTGAATGAAATCTTTCCTGCCCCTCTTTTCCCATGGCCTCCTGGAGCAGCAATCCCCACTCCGGTACCACATCCCTCCTATTTGCTGTTCTTAATTGGACCACATTTTGCAAATAAGGAACCACTATTTCTGGCCCATTTTAGAAACAACATACATGCCATTCGTTTCCCTATGCAGATATGTGCTTTTATAAGAGAGCTAGAGATAGTGGTCCCTTATTGCAAAATGCAATCCAATGAGCCAGTTCAGCTGAATTTTTTTATTACATATTATGAAAGTACTAGGTGAAATGAGTATACAGAATTTTTTTCAGATTTTTACTTTCTCGCTCCCCTAGGGCAGAGAGGAAGTATTGTCATCCTCCAAGAAAAAAAAAAAAGAAAAAAAAGTTGAAATTTCATCATTTCTAGAAGTTTTAAGGTCCCAGGAGTCAAAATAACCATACTTGAAAAAATGTGTGTCCGTCCGTGTGGCGTCCCCCAAATCTGTCTACAGCGATATCTCAGAATCTATCTTTGTCTATTTTGGGGTACGCTAACATTTGGGGGGGCTAGGCTAAATTGTCCATTTTCAGCAAAATCACACGGAAAGCTCATTTTGAAGGACTGTAAATTTTGAAAAATGCCTTTAATTCTTTAAAAGTGGGCATCAAGCACATCTTTTGGGTCATTAATTCAAGTTCCTTCAAGATCTTTGGACTAAACTCAAAATTCTAGGGATTACAAGGCCCAAAAGTAGGGCTTTTTGCTCCGCGACATCACAAACAGCTCATTTTCAAGGACTGTAAATTTTAGAAAAAATGCCTTTAATTCTTCGAAAGTTAGCATAAGAGTACTACCTGGTTAATTAATTTAAGTTCCTGTGAAGTCTTTGGACTAAACTAAAAATTGAAGGGTTACACGTCATATAGCGAGGAGAGCACTTTGGTTACACGGAGAGCTTATGGACGGTAGATTTTGAAAAATGCCTTTAATTCTTTGAAAGTTGGCTCAAAAGCACCACCTGAGTCATTAATTTAAGTTCCTAAAGGATCTTTGGACTAATCTCATAATTGCAGAGGGGCCGATAGAAAATGCTCAATTCTCTGATAAATGAGTCGGAACGCTTCAGAATATTAGCAGCAAACGCTTTGAGTCAGGTGAAACCTAGGAATTCAAATGCTTTATATAATGCATCATATACTATCTCCAAAATTACTCCGTAGGTATACACCAAGCAAAATTAGACAACTACTTAGGTACTTACATTACTTACTATGAATCATCGAAGCTAACGCAAGAATTGATACTTTGATCTTTATTAGAAACTAATATGTTTGTTGTTAATGAATTTAAAATCCCGGCAGATTCCATGTTTAGCGGTCCCTTTTTACGAGGTACTGAACACAAATATAATTAATAAAATTGCACAAACATGATTGATTTAATGATTGATAATAAAGCGCGTTATAACCCGTCCAGGTTTGCTGACGTCTGTTGTTGTTTGAATACACGGGGATACGAGCAGCAAGGAGGTGGCGCTCTCTATTGAATTTTTCGTCCCTCTTGCGTTTTCGTTTCGAAATACGGGGATACGCGCTAAGGAAGTGGCGCTCTGGCGGGCGGGTGGTGAACCATTTCGAGCAGGTAGATTTTCGCCCGCCAAATTTAAAATTTGGGCGATGCTAAGCGAAAACCGTTTAGTTTTATGACTATTTAAACATCGAATATTCATTCTACCCATTAAAGTAGATTTTTTATGGCTTTTGACCGTGCTTAAGGAAAGATCCTATATATTAAAATGCAAAGTTCCGAATCTTTGGGCGTTAACTTTGAGAGAACCACCGGACCGATTTGCCTGATCTTTTTTTTAAATGAAAGCCCCTGAGCTGTAGATTTGCAGGCTGTAATTTGTTTTCCAATTTTTTCAAATTTTCTCTTATAATTTTCTCAAATTTTCTCCAATGAATTAAAACGGAGGCCCGAATCTTTGGACGTTAACTTTGAGAGAACTACTGGACCGATTTGCATGATTTTTGTTTTAATTGAAAGCCTCTGATCTGTAGATTCGCAAGCTGTGGTCGTTTTTTCGATTTTCTCAAACTTTCTTACTTTTATCGACGAGTGAAGATTAGCTGGGCTCAAATTTTCTCCCATTAATTCAGACTAAAGTCCGAATTTTGGGACATTAACTTTGAGAGAACCACCGGACCGATTTGCATGTTTTTTTTTTTTTCTAAATGAAAGCTTCTGATCTGTAAATTTGCAGGCTGTAATTGTTTTTTCGATTTTCTCAAATTTTCTTACTATTATCGACGAGTAAAGTTCAGCTTTTTCGAGTGGTCGTCCGGCCGCTACCTGCTTGCCCGTCCCTAGGTACCCCCCCTCTACGGTCTCAGCCACCCCTTCCGCCACGTTCTTTCGGCTATCTCCGTTTTCTTTCGTATCGCTCTCCTCCCACCAACCTCAAAGAAGGAGGTTTGGGTCGCATCGTCGTTCGTCACTCGCCACCCACATTCCTTCGCAATTCCTCGGCTGCTCCGCTTCACAGCTTCTTGATATCCTGGCATCTTATCCTCTGCGGCTTGACAGAACCTGACTTATTCATCGCAGTATTGCATATTGCTATCAACACGTATTGTTACAGACATTTTATTCATCAATATTAAATAGATTCAACTAATTGCTCCGATTCCAATTAAGCTACTGCACCACCACAGCTAGTTATAATAAATAATCGCATCTGAAGTATGATGCCAATGAATCTAATAGATCCTAATGAATCGCAGAAAAGCTAAGATTTTTACGGATCGTCGTCTTTAATAGGAGGCATCATTATTCAATTACATATTTGATTGAAGATGCCTCATAATATCGACAAGTCGAGTCCGAATGTATGAATTCATCACATATCTCGAAGACATTTACAATAAAGTGCAGTGGTTTTAATAAAAATTTCATAACTATTATCCTGGGATCAAAATTCCAATCAAATTTTATGATTTTGTGAAATTGGCAGTATTTTTCTAAATATTCCAGTAAAAGTGTCTATGCCGGCGCGGAGCGCCGGCAAAAGCGAGAAAGTCTTGTGCGATCTTCGCACCATAATGGGGGGCCATGCCCCCTCCACATGCTGGCGCGAAGCGCCAGATCGCGGCGCTTGCGCCGCGCATAAATTGCCCGGAGGCCAATTTTTGGAGCTCTCTGGCCCGAGAAATTTTACTTTAAAAACACCAAAAATTGAAGGTCTCTGAAACGCTTTTTGAATTCTCATTGTTGGCGTCACGCGTTTGACGCCATTTTTGACGTCACACCTTAGGTGACGACTCTTGGTTTATTCCGAGTTAGTCTGAACAATATGGCTGCTGCCCGGTTTGTTTATTTAGCGAAAGTTTCTATCTGTATATTGTGATTTAGTGGTAAAATTTGACGAGAAATTTATTGAAACATTTGGTTTCGTCCGAAATTAACTCTTTCTTGATGAAAAAAGGCGTTAAAGTTCGCGAAATTTATTCACCGGGAGACCGCAAGTGAGCATCGGCTATCGGAAACGACGGGCTCGTAAACAAACGAAGATTGATAACAGGAAGGATCCAAATAACTCGGAATCTTTTAATTTTCTTTACCTTTAAACCATTTCTGACTTGTACAAAGCATCTGACAATCAGTTTCATCGTATTTTACAGCCTGGAGCTAGAGTCTATCGGCTCATTGTGATGTGTATTCAGAGCACTCTGAAACAGAAAGTCAGTTCTCATAAGTTCATACCCAGACATTCTAATCTTTGATCATTCGCTTTTCCTTTTTCGCCTCAAATCAAGTGTTTTGTAGTTTCCTTATCTGAAGTATGTGGTTTTGAATTCATACAAGAGTTTGAAGTTCTCCTTTTTTTTAGCATTAAAGCCTGTTGACCCCTGAAACTTTACCGATATGATTACAGTTCAAGGTTCCTCTGGTCCGTACCAAGTGATAACACATCAAAGATGTGTCCGATGGTTCTTCAAATTAGCAGTTCAGAAGTAAATTAGAGACTACAGTAACTTAATCCACTCCTGCCCTTTCCTTCAGTGTTTGTTCGTGTCTGTTCTTTATGCGTTACCATTCTAGTGCATACACCGGTAATGTAGGTTAGATAGGTATTATCGTATATTTTCTATAAGCAGTACCTTCTCTTAAGCGTTCTAATTTAGCAAAGAAATTCCACCAGCGGCAGAAAATTGTGTGCGTAATGAATAATTGAATATGAATACATGGAGATGTGCTCAGAATGAATGTGAACCGTCGGGTTTGGCGTCAGATCACAGAG